CTCGTTGCAGTAACTGTCTGCTCTTCCGTCAAACCGTGTTCTCATCCTCAACACTTACTATAGCCTCAAAGTTCAACTGGCCCCGTCGACCTCCCTGTATCTGTTTCAACTGAGCAAATACAGCCAATCAACATCAGTCTTCCATCAGAAATGGAACTTACCCGGGGGGTAAATTATCTCAAAAAGTATAAAACTTGCGACTCGGACGGGGTGTCTCTATCGGGTTTTGTGTATGGAAATTTAGCTTTGGTCTGGGGTTTAACGAAACCATTGGGCTCGGAGTGGGAGCAAACAGGTGTGGATCGGTTATCACGCCCATGTACAAGAAAGGTGATAGATCCCTTGTGAAAACCACAGTAATCAGTTCAATCAACATCGTTTCTACACTCCTCTCTGGTAATATACTACGTCGATTGTCTGCCGCACGTGAACAGTGCACCGCGAGAACCAGACTGGTTGTAGACCTGGTCGAGGTTGTATCGACTACAGTGTTCATCGAACTCTAGAACACAGGTACTCGTTTTGCAGACCCACTATCTCTTAAGTCCTCGATCTGAAAGCGGCTTTTGATTCATTCGACCACTTAATACTTTTGCGCTGCCTTTCTATAAAGGGTACGCCCGGAGAGTTTATTGCAAACGTACAATACTTTACATATTTCACACATGTCGGAGGCCAGACTGTGTGCCAAATATATGACGGTAAAATAACCTTCAAAAGAAAATGTTTCGTGATTTGCCAAACCAAGTGAATTTTCTTAGGGAGTTCACAACCGGAGCCTTTGGATAACCAAAGCCTGAATCACAAGGCAGTGAGGCCGTGCGAAAACCGCAATCCATCGGAGGCCGGTGTTCAGTTCAACGAATCATATGCGCATTGGACGGCGTCAAACGTCCACGGTGTACAATGCACCTCGATATCCAATCGAGCCGGTGATCACTACCACGATCAGGAAGGTGTCGTTCGTACCCTTCTTCTTGGTCAATTCCGAATCAGGATTTTTAGCCAACTCCTCTAGATGAATTAACAATGATTCACTGACCCGGTTAAGTCCCGGATATTGGCTTTTTGTTCTCTCATTTTGGTGGGAAAACACTCGTGCCAGGAGAACGCAGTGAATAAGACTTCCTCAGTGAGACGCTTGGTCTTGTGGGCGCATTTCGCGAGGTGCAAGGAGAGATGAGCAGCCGCATCCCAAGACAGTCACTTCCTCTACCTCGCGTTCTTCCCGCATGTTTCGAACACAAGTGGCTAACCATCCATTTCAAGTGACTATTATCAGTCATCTCTTTTTTCAAGAACAGCACAACTGTGGAACACTCTCACCTTTTGTCTTCCTGCCAACTAACATCCTTGCCTTTATAAACACAGAATGGACAACCTGGTTCTGACTTGAATATTCCCCCTACCTTCCAACGTAGTGTAACCTTGGATTATGGGGGTTTACCCCTTTTGCTGTCTTCATTTCTGTGCAATAAACAAGGAACGATGGTACTCTAGCGGGTTGAAGATGGGATCGGTGCATCCACGACCGGTGCGAAACAAAGTCTTCTTCTAGCGAGTTTGCTTTTCACGCGTATTGTACTACGGGCAGAAAATGACGGACTCCTAAAACTTTGAGGCTTTTAGGATCAGGCTCCCACTCCTATAACTGGTGCAGTCACTGTGCGGGGGCTTTTTAAAAATGAGGAAGACAATGGACTCCCCCCCCCTCCCTGAGGAGCGGTCCTGCTCAGTGTGACAAACTTTGGAGAACAGAGGCACCAATTCTCTAATAAGCGTTGTTCCACCGTCTTTAAATAAAGCTCGGGGAAGATCATCGCAGCCCGGCGATTTGCGACTTCCCAATACGAGGATCTCCTGAAGGATTTCCACCCCAGGTGTTTTTGTTGGGACTGACCATGGGACGTGTGCCCGAATAGCTGTGAGAAGCTGTGCTTTGATGCACTCTACCGAACGTGCAAGAAGCTTTCCTCTTTCGATCTAATTACCAGATACCGATTAATTATAGTCTGTTGTTATAAAAACCACCATCCTGCAGCAAAATACAGGTTATATATATATATATAAACACCAATCTTTATAGATACGGTGCCAAATATAACCATGGCTGAACGAAAAAATATATGTAGGTAAAGTTCGATTACCTGTATCAGTAAAGTTCTAAATACAGGTAATCGAAATTTACTGATCGCTGGCAGGTTCACAGTGCAAGCAGAGTAAGTGAGAATACATAGAGTGGACATGGAGTGNTGAAAAAGGCGTACACAATCCAAATTTGCATGTACACGTTTTCAAGCATTCTGAACCGATGAGAAATGAAACCAAGAACACCACCAATATCGGTTTGTTGTCAAATCCTTCAGTCTCCAAACAACCAGTTTCAGAGTTTTTGAATCCTAAGCTGACCAATCTCTCTGCACATTCCTTTATGCTTCGTTTCCGCGTCATCTGTTGATACTCATATGATTTCATTTTGCATGGAGTGGTTACAGCGAATTGGGTGCGGTATGCGCAATGAACGGCGAAGTTTACTAATCCGAATAGCATTTACGAACGAATTCTTCATCCGATCATGCATTCTTGTACAGTGTAATACAGTGAAGCGAACTTCACTGATCGCTGTCAAACTCATAATGCATACAAGATAAGTGAGAATCTATAAAGAAG